CGAGCCTCGAATCCTCGGACTTTGGGGCCAAACGGGGCGTCTGAATCGCTAGAAAAAAGAGGTTTTCTTCCATTTTCTTCCACTTGTCTCGCCCAGCCTGGTCCCCAACACCTGGTCCCGCCACAGCTTTTCCCCATCTAGTTCTGGCCCCAAGCGAGCCTCCAATCCTCGGACTTTGGGGCAAACGGGGCATCTGAATCCCTAGAAAAAGAGCAGTTTTCTTTTTCATTTTCTTCCACTTGTCTCGCCCGGCCTGGTCTCTTTGGTTCAGCGGACCCATGGAAACACACATTGACACCTGTATTCCCTGGCGCGCTCCCCCTTACTTCGGCCGGGGTCGGCGGACTTTCAAAACTGGGGGATTGGAGGGAGCACTTTAGCATGAAATGTGTTCATGAAACACAACAAGTGTCAAAGAAGTCCACCCATGAACGCGGGGTAGGATTGGGTTCTGTTTTTTTGTTTCTGATCAAATATTTTTTGCGAAAATATTGTTCGATGGGCATTTCAATCAATGTTAGTTCTCTTTTCGCAATATGCGACAGATGCTTTCAACTGGGTTTACTTTTTTTGAATATGTGCGATAGATGATCGGATTTTTTGGCCCGGTTTTTTGTTTGTTGTCCTTGCTTTCAGACCCTTTCGGGTGCTTTGAACATTAAGCTTTGGCGGCAATGCCATTCATGGAGTTGTGTTGTTTTTCATTCACACACCCCAGAAGGAACTTATTTTTGGTTGTAAGTTGGAAAGTCAAGTTTGTGGATTGCTTTCGCAGTTAATCAGTTGCAATCTCAAACTTTCTTGCATTCTCCCAACACGGAATGAGGAGACAAACACTTTGAAACTCAAAAGTGAGGAGATGCATTGGGCAAATTGTCGCGGTTGTTTCATTTTTGTTGTGTTTTTTTTGTATTTGTGAATTGCTTGATGTGCCAACATGAATTGCCGAAAAGTGGTTGACTGAACACACTCTGGATCGACCTTATGCTGGTTTGTTTTCAACATCAGCTGAACTTACCTAAACATGAGCTTGCTCATGGTGGCAAAATCATGTTGCGAGGCATGCACCTTGTTGTGTGCGTTTGGAGGAAAAACACATTTGTGCGCCACGTAACATTGCGCGGTTTCATGCAACCACCGATGCCAACCAACTTTCATCTCTTAGCTTTATGCAAGCACTGCAAAACCATGCGATCCACAAATTGAGCCGAAATGCTCCGACGACAAGACAGCGATGGCTGCAGTGTCGTGGTTGTCAATGGGCATGGGGATGCTGCGTGGCAAGTGTTCATCCTTCTTCTGAGAGTTCAGACAAGCTCAGCTGAGCGCACTGGACATGTCGAAACGGGAATGTTGGGAATTGGGGGACCCCCGCGAGCTGGGTCCGCGAGGAGCTGGTCGAGTCTGATGGAATTTGTGATTCCCTCTAAGAAAGAGGTTTGGAAGGTGCAACGATGAACATCGCCCTCCAGTCTTTTGGGAAGGTCCAACAACGGGATGCAGGTGATCAGACATATTGGGGTCCTGCGGTGCCTGGTTCCATTTCTCCAACTTCCGACCCCCACGTGGCCGGGTCCCGAGGCTCGGGTGTTGGCTGCGGCATGTCGTGACTTTGAGGAGTTGCTGGCAAGGCCACGACAAAGTGGTGAGGTTGCTGGATCAAGATGCTGTTCACTACCATCATATGAAGGTCCGGATTTCTTCTGTTTCGAGAGCCTGCCTTGAGGTGTCAAATCTTGTGTGGCCCACATTTATATATCACTAGATGCATACTTTGCTCTGTATCAATTTTTGACTCAGGAACTTTGCACGCTTCAGAAACCATGTTTCAGAAACTACGCCCGTTTGAGTAGCTACGCGCGTTTCAGAAACGACGTGTGCGTTTTAGCGACTACGTTTCAGAAACTAGACGCGCGCTCTGGAACTACGTTTCAGAAATTGTGTGCATTTCAGAGACCATGCTTCAGACACCACACTTCTGAATCCACATGTCTGTCAGAAGCCACCGCAACACTATGTTGCTTCGTGTAGACACTTGCTGGCTTGGATGGCGGGGTTGGGGGTGTTCTGGTCAATATGGTGACGTTCTTTGTGATTGCAATTGTCTTGGTTGGTGTAGACACTGTGGGGGTGGGGTTAGTTGTATGAACAAGAGGAGATTAAGCTAGATTTTGCAATATGATCCAATTCGCAGCAGCAGCTGCTTCCAGATTCAAGATTTACTGTTGACAACATCTTTAGGATCCTTTGTGTTGCAAATTGCCTTGTTTCGCCCAATGCTCGAATCCATAGTAGTATCTCTATATATATATATATGTAGATATAGAGTTCTCGAAACAGCTTCAGAAGCAAGTGTAGTTTCCGAAAAATGGTCAAACAGCTTCCAAAACAAAAGCAGTTTCCGAACCGTAGTTTTGCAAACACGTGTAGCTTCCGAGATACCCCTAGTTTCAGAAACATCGTGTCCGAAATATCGTTCCGGAACCATGGTTTCAGTTAAAACTGTTATTGACCACACTTTGCGCTCAAACCTCTGGAATCTACCAGAGGCTTTGTTTTTGAGCGGCCAGGGCCATAGCGAACTAGAACCAAGAATGGGGGCAATAGACATGTTGTTTGTTCAAGGGGCTTTGTGGGCTTTGCTGCGGCATTCTGGCATCGATGTTGTGTTCTACTCCTTTGAACGATTTGCCATGTTGGAATTCGTTGTTATCAACTCGAATGGCTTGGCAGTGAGCTATCGGGTCGAAACGGGCAGGCCAGCAGGCCGACATGCAGAGGCTTTGTCGGGACTGGAAAGGACACCAGGTCGTTGGGTTAAAATACAGTTTGTCTTTTGTGCAGACCATAGGATTAAATGGCCTTCTAACCGACCACTACCGTGACAGCAGCAACTTAAAGGGCCCATCACGGTGCGCTCACTCAAGGTTTGATCCCAAGAATTGAGAGACCAATCTGGCAGATACAAAGTTATGATAGACTCGTAGACTTCAAGGTGATGTAGAAGAGACCATGGGAGGGAGTGTTCATTTTTCATTCGTTGTTCCTTGCCGCATGCCGTACTGATTGGGCAACATTCTGCAGGGAGTCTAGTTGTCACTATAGTAGGGTAGGCAAGCCAACCGAGCCAGCAAAAGCCTGGAGGCCTAGAGTCTCTCGTGCGGGCATGATTATAGAGCGACACAACATGAACAATTACTGCTCATTCGACAACGGGCTTGCATCATTCACACCATATATATATATACATACATATATATATACACATACATACACGTTATGTGTTCATTTTATGGAGAAAAGATCTGCAATGGATTTTAAGGAAGTGGCTTAGTTTCCATCTAATTACATGTGGCATGTATTCGATCCTTTGCTGAACTATGTCCGTTCAGGAGGCTGAGGACTTACTCTCCGCACCCTTCCGCGAGCTCGCACAGAAGGATTCCGCCTGGGAAGGCGGCGGAGCCGGTCTCCCCTGCTGAGACGAGGGGGAGTGGAAAAAGACAACAGGATTTGACATGAGAAGAGGAGAAGAGAAGAAACGTCAAAAAGACACATTTATGGTGATGGCTTGAAACCAAGACCAATATAGAATTGAATAACATTGGATTGAAAGAAAGAATGGTCGGCCACCCTTACGACCCCGCCCTTCCACGGCGCCCGTCCGGAGTTCCAGCACTGTCGCTCTGGCGAGGCCTCGATGAGGCGGAGATCGCCACGGCCGCACCTTTGCTGCTAGGTGCGAAGTGGCCCGGGAGAAGTAGAACTGAAGTAGCAGGATGTGTTCGGCTTCCTTTCGTTTGAGCAGAATTGAAGGTCCCACGTCATGGAGCACTTCGCTTTGGAGTCTACCGGAAGATTTGGATCTTGTCCCCAGATTTGTCCCCAGAGACACCAAAAGACCGCCTGAAGTTGGTGCGTTCATGTTCCGACGAAAGACCATCCAAAGCGAATTTGGGCGGCTTTCTGCATCCTCCAACTCATGAAACGTCTGGTCCAAAGAGTGCCCCACAGAAAAGGACTCCGAATCGACCTTTGGTAGCTCCTGGCATCGCTACTAACAAGAAGCTACTAGGAACAAGTGCATCGCTACTAGTAACAAGTGCCTTACTAGTAGTAACAAGAAGCTAGTAGGATTCTTCCGCTCTGTGGGTCCTTCGCTGAAACATTTGAACGCGCGCCGGTGCGTCCAGGCCCTCGTGGTCTCCTCGAGCTTACGGAGAGCGCAGGCACACCCGTTTTTTGGGCCGTCTGATTGGCACTGTGTTGGTGCAGCTTTGCGTGTCGTTTTATTTGGGGAAAGACGAGTCCACGAAGGAAGAGGAAGTTGGATAAGTTGGTGTGGGTGCACATTTGATTCTTAATTGTTTCAATGGGACATTGGCACAATTTTCATGATCGGCTTTGATTTTGGATGTTTCTGGTAAATCGAGCAGACTCTCACAGAACTCCATGTGAATTCCATCCCATGACCTCAGATTTCTTGATGATTGGGTCTATTGTCATGTAGGCGGGTTTGGCTTTCTTAGATGTGCCGCCGATGCCGCCATCCTGTTGTCTTGGCTTTGGCTCAAGATGCACAGTCAGTGGCTTACGCCCAGAGCACGACAGATTTGGGCTACTCTTCACACCACACGAAGCACTTTTTGGGCTCCAGAAAGTTAACTGCACATACGTAGGTCTGGCTCAAGGCAATATGAGCCTAGTTTTTGGATGATGTCCATTTGCCGGCTGTCTTGTTGTGAAGTACAAAAACCATGGTTCCCAAGTACCACGACTGGGCGGCCAGTTTGAAGAATGCCGGAGATCCATTTGTGACCCCACATCGAAGACGACGGGGTCGCCCGGTGGCCCAGAACGAGGACAAACTGCTTGCAGATCTCCTGTGGGGTTGGAAGGGGTTGAGCCAGGCTTGCGACACAACCATCAACCAACAGCTTCGATGCTTTCCAGACTCTCTGGGATGCTCCAGTGAAGGAGTGTTGTCACCTGGATCAGCAACTGATCCTCTCCGTAGCCGTTGAGTTCAGGCTTTCCAAGCACCGAAGTCACCAGAAGCACAAGCAAGATATGCTGTGACCAGCAGAGAGAGAGAGAGAGAGAGAGTACCCGTACAAAGCATCTTCTTCTCGTACAAAGCATCAAGTGACTTTTGTGTCTCGTTTTTGACCTCCAATCGCACTTCAGCACCCGAAATGCTGAGGCCAAGTAACTATGTTTCAACCCCCGACGGAACTCAGGACACAGGACGTTTTCTCCCAGGAGCCAGGCTGATCTCGATCTGAGCCATGGCGATGCTGAAGCTCTTTGATCGGGCCATGATTACCCGATTGATCCAACAGCCAGAGGAACTGGACATGAACGAACTCTTGGGCCTTTCCCGAGGAGAAGGGGCGGAGCAGCGAAGACGGGAGAGTTCCAGATGTGTTGGACCATTCCACCATCCAGTCATCTTCAGGAGTGGCATTGGCAACATGCATTATTAAACGCGGCGCAGTAACACATATACACACACATATTATATATAATACATATAGTTGTCTGCATACAGCAAATTCAGCCGCAAGATAGGATGTTCATTCAAGTGCGCTCCGCATGAGGATTCTTCTCTTTGCAGGCGGCCGTGGGGCTTGTGAGCTTCCTCTATGGTGCTTTTCACCAATCCATGGGCACCGCAGCTGATTGTGTGGGGTGATTGCGCAGCTGATTGTGTGATTCGGTTTTTTCTTTGTTTTGGGTGAGGTAACAGGAGCACATGCTGAACATCCTAGAGTGCCCCGCTTGCGATCTTGTTGATTGGGTTGTTTATATTCATTGGTGGCCTAAGTGCCAAAAAGCCGGTTCGCGGGCGGCGCAGGATTTTCTTCAATTGCCTCCTTGAGGCAAGCTAGTGTTATCCTGACTGGAGACACTTGCTCCACGGCACACACTACCCAGAACAGAGGACCTCCCTTGTGACCCTCCAGTGCAGCATTTGATCTATCAAGCCAAGGAAGGCCATGAAGCGATTCCAAGGTTGTTTTTGCTTTCAGACCAGGGTTGCAGGGCTTTCTGGCAGTCGCACTTGGAAAAAACAGACCAAGAGCCTGTTCCTGATTGCATGTTTCAACCTACCCAACCCAGCTGGAGGAGTGATTTTTTCCTGGCAGAAGCTCTGAAGCTCTGAAGCTGTTTCATTCGTTTCTTTGGTTCGGTCGTACCTCGCTGGGTTTCATCCTCCACGGCTGAGCAGTCGAAGCCAGCGCTTCGCGCGCCTCGTTGAGGCCTTTCCACCGTGGGAAACTTCACCATCCCACTTTTGGGTATCTATAGCTCTCAGGAGAAAGGGTGTGGTGTTTTTTTTTGTTGTGGTGTCAACCTCAGCTCTGGTGTTTACAGTTTGCGGTCGTGTTGGCGACATGATGTAAAGTGCTTTCACAGAGAAGCAGTGGGGGTTTTCTGAGAGGAGAAGATGGAATTTCGTGTAATCACTGTAATCATCCATGCCGTGGCGTTTCGCATGTTGGCGAGAATCATCGATAGTGGTCTAGTTGGTCCAGGGGCGATGATCATCAGGTGCCCCACTCTTACAGCTAATGACATGGCCTGTAGAAGAACATGTGCAAATCCAGAGATCCGCTGCAGTGACTTCGCAGAAGATTGCTCAAATTCCAGTTGGATAAAGGTTGCTTCTGGAAAGGTCTGCTGTCGCATTCCCCCTCGCAGGATGACAACCCGGAGAACTACAAAGCACTCAGAGCTCCTTGTATCAATCGACATTCACCACGAACTCTCTTTCGACCGAAGAAAAATCGACTTCAACTGGGTGGATCTAAATCAGGATGACAACCCGTTGGTTGCAGACACACATTGCAAAAAGGCCTTCACAGTTCTCGATAGATCGAGTCTTCTACAATCCGATAGATCGATGCTCTGGTGAAACGCGATGCTCAGGTTTGTGCCTTGTACTGGGTTGCTTGGCGGCTGTATTCAGCTCTGAGAAAAAGGAACAACGAGTTTTGAATGGTTTTGACCACTTTGTTGAATCGACCAATCAGTTTTGGTGGCTCAAAGAGCCATATGCACATGGTAGGATACAAGAGGTGGACCACTGTGGGGATGCTGGATTCCATCGTTGCAAAAGTCAATTGGATATATATATATATGATATGGCAATCTGGTTGTGGCCAAGAATCGGACGGGACTCCCCAATCTTCAGTCATGTTTTTCCCCCTACAAACGGCTTGGGTGCCGAAAAGGCCAAGGTCAGAGGTCAGTCTCTGCCGGGTCCAAGGTCAGTCTCGCCAAAAGGACTTCGAATCCACCGTTTTTCTTCGACGTTCGATGATCCACGGGTCCGGTCGGAGGGGAGATAGACGAAATGCTTGGTCAGCGGACCGTCCGCGAGAAGCTGAGTGACCGTGACATGTAGGTCTGAGGGTTGGGAGTTGCTGCATTTTGGAGGTTCCATGTGGGAACCTAGGATGAGAATGAGAACTTCTTTTGGGGCAGGTATTTTCTCCAAAGTTTCTCAGGCATGAATTCTCTGGTGTTCCACTCCTCCTTGCCAAGAGTGTTTCAGAGTCGGGGCCATCCTAACCTCCAACCTCCACGACCCGAGCCGCTCTCGTATGACCCGACCTCCACGACCCGAAGCGCGGCGTTGGCTGCCGCCCCCGCAGGTGCTCGGTGCCCTGTACAGCTTCTTCGAAGCGTTCCTGGGCCGAAGCTTCCGCTCGGCGGTGACCAGTGCACTGAAGACCGTGCTCTATGTGCTGCAGTGCCCCGACCGGATGGGATGGCCAGAAGACCACGGGGATCTCGTCTTGCGAACATGAGCGAATCATCATCGGATCTTGGTTCGTTGGGTTCAATTTGTTGGGCTGTGGGAAAGCTGCGTTTGGAGAGTGGATGTGGATGGTGTCGATTTGTTTTTCCGTTGTCTCTGTTTGTGAGGCCTTTAGAGATCGGTGTGGTTCTACGGTGTGCTGAGTTTAAAGAACCTTGCGCGCGCGCTCTTTCTCTCTCTCTCTCTCTGCGTGCTGTGGGCCAGGAACTCACACTGGGTTCCCGCTGCAGTGTCGACTTCCAAAACGTAAAATTCACACCTAGTGAAAGCGGCGCCAAAACCTAGACTTGAAGATCTAAACATGATCTAACACGGAGCAGAAACCGATCCTCGATAGACCCCCCCTGTCAAAACCTGAGACCATGTGAAGTCCAAGTAGATGAACTCCCGCCATAGTTTCAAATCTGAACTCGAACAGGAGCACAGTTCTGTTCTGCACTGTGTTTGTAAACACTTTGTTGTTGCTAGCAAGGTTAATGTCTACTTGAACGAACAAAGGGGATTTTGTCTACGGTTCATCGTTCTCGTTGGCGGAGGAAGAGCTGGAAGAGCTGGGCCCCACCAAAGTCCTTTTTTTTGTGTGTGCGTTGGTCTGTGCGTTGGTATTCTTATATAACTACTTCACCCCACAACGAGGAATACCTTCCCCCTGTGATGCATCCATGGTATCTACAACCAGTGATTCGAAGGTTCAACCGGGGGTTGCAGGCTTAACTCGCTTCTTTGGCACTCGCTTCTATGGTGTAGATTCCATTCAGGTGGATGGTCTTGGCGCGCTTATGGCGTTGGATGCAGCACCGCTACGTCTGCACTGTGAAGTTCTATTTGAACATTGCTGCACGGCGAAGATCTTTCTAAAAAGGTTCATGATGATACAGTGGTCCAGAACGTATTTTTTTTCTCCAAAAAATTATGATACAGCATTCGAGTCGGACACTTTTCCTTTTGCCAGATTGTGTTTCCTCGTTTCCTCAGTCAGTTTCTGAACCTCGAAAGCTTCAACTGATAGTTTTTTAACATCGAATATCTAGATACACGGACTCAGGAGGAAAGCAACATGGGACCTGGCTTGCCAAGGTCATCAAGAACAAACAGGAGGTGGCATGAGGGACTTTTTGGGGTGGAGTCCCTGGAGGGAATCTGGATGGCCAGTCAGTGGGATTGCTTTCCGAACTTGGGCGGGCACCTGCCACACTTCAACTGGGCATGGCGGCCCGCCACACACGCTGCAGACACGACACATCTATTTTGACTCCTATGTTGATTTTGTCTTTTCCTGTCTTTTTCCTTAACACATGCACTGCTGAAGAGATCTTTTAGATCAAGAACCTTTCTTGAGCACCAAATGAGAAAACTTTGCACCAAAAGAAGCCCCGCATGAAATTGATTCTTTTGACAGACAAATCGACTTTGGCTGTATGTCATCCATGTTTTCAGAGAACCCACCTTCATCCATGTTCATCCATGTTCATCCACCTTTCCCAGACTCTTTGTCGCTTCGACGCTCAGGTGGTGGTTACCAAGGCGGTGGAGCGAAACCGTTTCACTGGAAAGCTCCTAGGCGCCTGGCGCGCGCGTGGCGCGCGTGGCCTGCCCGGAAGACTTATCTGCTGACCGGGTCGGAGTGTTGAGTGGACCTGAAGGCTGCCTGGCTGGCATCCCAACGGCTGGGCTCTTTTTGGCGCTATGAAACGAAGGGATGGATGAACACCTGAATCTGGATGGACGAAGTCCTTCCGGACAGATCACTGAACTCTGATGGGGGTTTCTGAAACCACGGGGACCGAGACCCGGCCGACGTCCCAGCCGCGTCTTTTGCTACGCAGGGAAGATCGCCAACAAGCTGGTCTCGGAGGCGCGGTTGCGGCGCGGAGCAGCGGATTCTTCTGGGGGGCACCGGGGTCCAAAGGTTTCAGAGGGTTTCAGTGTTCGGTGTGTGGCGGTCCTTCACCCCGTCGACTTCTGTGGAAATGGAACCTTTAACCTTTGTATTTGTCACTCGAAGCGCTAACGATGATGATGGAGCTGTTGAGCTGCCATCGCTGCGTGCAACTTCTACCAATGATTATGACATACGACGGTGTGACGATGGTTCAGAACTTTTGGCGTCCTCTCAAAATTCATGTCACCAACCGGCGACCAACCGGCTTTCCTAGAACTCCTGTCCTTTGCCTCGGGTGCGAGTCGTTGGTTGCGCGAGTCGTTGCACCTGGAGGACATGTTTTCAGAGAAAGTTGCCGCCAATGTGGAGCAGAACATCCCCCAGCGGCTGCTGAACGAAGGCGTGCCTTCGGTGTCGACTGTGTCGTGTGGTGTTTTGGGCACCAAAAAACCTGGGACGGTGGTTGGAGCACAACTGCTCCACCGGTTCCAGGTGGAATGGTATGGGTCACAGGCTTCAAACAACAGAAACTTTCTTTCCTGGATGCTACGAACGGAGCAAAGGGCATCGCTACTAGGAGCAAGGACGCATAAGGACGCTATTAGGGGCTTCTGGCCTTACTAGGAACAAAGACGCCACCAGGAACAAGAAGCTATCTTTCTCTCCGTTGGAGCGGTAAGCCTCGTTCCGGGGCGAGGCGGTATCACGGCCACGGCGAAGACGCAGTTCCACCGGGGAAACTTCTTCGTGGTCTTGGTCTCAGTGGAGAAGATCGACCTGCGGAAGATGCTCATCTCGCGCTTGGATGAAAAGTGGCTTTGGTTTTGAAGGGTGGATGGGTATGGATGGGTTGGGGAGTTGGAGTGGATGAGAACTGAAGGGTGAGGGCCTGGTTGGTGGTGCTTGTGAGGCAATGTTGGACTTTATGAAGCTGTGTGATCTACTTTGGTCGGGCGTGTTGAGAAACCTTCAGGTGGTGGTTTGGTGCGTTTTTGAGAGGCTTTTTTTGGCAGGGCGAGGGTGGCATTCCAAGAGAGAGGGAGCAAAGGCTGAAATGAAGTTTCTAGCCTCCAACCTATATAATAGCGATGGCCTTCGACCTAATAGCGGCGATGGATTTCGACAATCGAGCAGAGCCAGTGTTGGAAGCGCCGATTCATCGAGGCAGATGAAGAGATTCGACCAGGTCATGCATTACATCGAGGCTCGGGTGGGTGTGAGGGCTGCTCCATGGAAGTTTCTTTCACAACGGAAGACACTTCCTCACATCACGCGTCTTTTTTCCTTCTTTTTTTTGGGGGGGGAGGCCGGGGAGGCTTTCTTCGAAGAATTTCTTTTCAATTTCATCGTTCACCGCTCAAAAATGAAGAACTTGGACCATGTCTGGGTGCCCAATAGCTTTTTGCTGCCTTCTAGAAGCCTTCAGGGATCGACGATCCATTCGGTGACTCTTCATCCCAAAGCCGATCCAAATGCCCGTGAAAGAAAGCTGAAATCACCCCGAAGGGTCTTTCTTCTGACCATTGATCGAAAGTGCACCTTGGTGAGCCAGTGAGCCAGGTGCTGCCCAGGTGGGTGAAGACCGACCTCGAAAGCTTGATCCTCATGCAGGCCGATCCCTCCCGACGCGAGCCGCACCGAAGAGGAAGCACAGATCGAGCTCAGAGAGCTACTGGGAGGCCTCGTGCCGGTCACGAAGGATTTTCGAAACTGCAACGGACCCAAGCAACGAAAAACACTGCACAGTCCGTTACCCAGACGACACTGGGAGAGAGAACCTCGACACTGACCTTCTCTGCTTCGTGACCCGAATAGATGCAGGAGTCACTAGGATGACCGGAGCCGACCTGGTGGACTCAAATTAGGGGAGTGGGTGGACTACTCGGACTTGCGGACATTTTTTTCTCTTAAACTGCGTAGGCCTTTTGAATGTTTTTGATGGATATTATGGTGCTTTCTTGGTTTCTCCCAATGGTTCTTGGTAGCGCTATCCCCCAATCCAACTCCCTCAGGTCGTTTTCATCCCTTTCTGCGCTTCCACTCGCTCCCCCACTCGCGACATGTGTCAGGTGGGCAAAGGCCTCTTGGATCGGATGCCCGTCGCTTGGCCGAGTGAATCAGCGGAAAAACCCAGTTTCCGTCGACGGGGAACCCGTCACAAAACGACCGGACCGATGACCAACTCGGTCTTCCCCATCTTTTCCCTGTTAGTGAGTCGGAGTGTATGCGAGACACCTGAGATAGGGCATGCTTTATAGTGCCTGTGAGATGGGGGCGTTTTGTTCGCCCTTTAATGCCCACTTCTCACAACTTCCTGTTCTTTGGTCCGGCACCTGCACCTCTGCACCTGATCTCCCGTTTCCAGGAATCGATGACTCGGCAGCTGCGGGACATGGGCGGCCTCGACGTGGAGGTGGAGTCCAAACTCCCCTCCGAGGAGGGGCAAGGGCGTCGGCGTGTGGGGCCATGGGTTGGTGGGCCGTGGGGGTCGGAGTTGCAGACGGTGAGAGTCATCGTGTGCATTGGGGGTTGGTGTGGTACGGTAGCGTAGGTGCTTAAAGCTAAAAGTTTCTCGTTGCGGCATCGTAGCTCTGCGATCCTGTCCAGGAGGCCGAGTTTTTCTTTGCAGTCATGAAACAGATGGATGAGGAGGTGACCCGGCAGTTCAAACCAAAAATCCGTCTTAGTGCATCCCGGTTGACAGCTGGGTTGACGCTGGAACATTTCTAGTTGTTTTGGAACGATTGGTTACTTTCCGTGGTGGCAACTGGATCCTGCGTTTGGCAGTTGATCAAGTTGCAATAAACCAGGCTATAGTTACTTATTTCATCTTAGTTCTCTTTTGCATCCACTCGGGCCAACTGAACAACTTTGATGTACGGATCGAACAACTCCAGTTTGAAGATCTTAGAACTCCAGCCTCATCCTAAAGGCACCACTGGATCTGAAAGCAAAGCTAAGCTGGACTGATCGGTTTTTGGCTTTCTTGCCATGAAAAGTCATTCGCTTCTCACTTTCCGCTCGCTTCTCTGCGTCCGCGACGCCCAGGCGAAGAGTCGGAAGGAGAAGGATTCGCCCTCCTTGCCCTCCTCGCCCTCGCGGAACATCTCCTCGCCCAAATAGTCGACCGATAGTCGATCGCGTGCGGACCGGTCCCGCCGTAGAAAGGTCACGCCTCTTCAGGCAGCTGCGACGTCCAGCGAGGTCACGTCGCTGATGGTGCACAGATGAGGGGCTCCAGTGGCTTCAGCTGCTGCGTGTCTGTCTCACTGAAAGGTGGTAGAGAACGTGCTTCAAGCTGAAACATGGAACCTTTGGAGAATTGAACCGCCCAAGGAACCGTCTTGGGCGATTCATGCATGATTTCTGGGTGTCTTAAAGATCAAACAGGCCATGTTGAGGCACCCACTGCCACTGGCCGCTGGCCCCTGGTTGACCCCGAATTGGGGGCATGTGCCGATTGCTTGGACCGCAACAGAGCGCGAACCGTGCAGAGTTGGAGCTGGCTCATGGAAGTAGGTTCGGTGGCATTTCAAGATCCAACATTTGGGGAGGGGCACGTCGGGGCAGGTGTCCTTTTTTTTTGACCCCACCAAGCAGTTCAGTTCGCATGGATGTTCATCTTTGAAGGAGAAGCACTTCCAAGATGTTCCACGAAACCGGTCGATGCCTCCTGCCTGTGGCCCAAGAGAACAAGTTCGCCACCTGCCACCTCCCTCCGTCGCCGTAGTCTTTTTCTAGAACACTTCATCAAGCATCTTTCGGAAAGTATACTTCCCGACTTTCAATTCCTTCAAGCATTTAGGGGATTCCGTAGCCTTCCTTCAGCCCAAGATGAGATCAGGTCGGGCATCTCTGAGCCAGCGGTTTCTTGTGGAATGCTTCCAGCTAGAGATGGGATCGAGTTGAGTCAGTCCTATTACCTGTAACAGTCGGTAAACAATTATAACTATTTTAGGACAAGGCCTTTTCTAAGCATCATCATCCACTCTTACAGCGAATAGGATATACCCAAAGTAGAGGTAGTGTTTCTTGATGTTCTTCAACTATGTCGATCATTTTCATTGGTCACAAGGGGTCGAACCCCAGCCGCAAGTCTTTGAAGCACCGTGCGGCACCGTGCGGAGAAAAAACCACCGCAGCTCTGGCCTGCTCGTCCATGCGCCTTGCTGGAGTTGATCCAATGCTTTGGAGCTCTGGCGAGCTCGAAGCACTTTCAAAACGTTTTTCCCCCGAAAGATGTCCGACATAAAACAAAGGATGACCTTCTCACTTCAAGTAGGTAGGCTGTAGGATCTGTAGGCTGTAATCATCCAACCCCTCTTGTGCAATGTTGAGTCAGCTGCATCTGGCCCTCCACCGGGGCCTGGTGGGGCGAGTCTTCGTTTCTCCTGGCAGGAAACGACAACGGCGGTGGCTGTGTGCTTTTCCGCCCGACTCCTTGGAGGGCTTCGGGGTAGGGAGAGGAGACTTTTGGGCCGACGTGGCACCCGACGTCGCCAGTTCGTGGCACCGTAGGGCGACGCGCAGAGTCTGAGGCCGCTCAGCGCTCGAAGCCACTGCACGCTTCCTGGACCTTTATGGCCCGGGAGACCTGGACACAACGCGAGGGACGTGTGTTGTCGCCAAAAGCTGAGTTAGACAGCAAAGATCAACATTCTGTGACTTGTGAACTTTAGGACTTCAAGGTTTGCCCTAGTCACCTAGTCCCAGCGCAAGGCAGTACTGTTTCCGGCGGTTTTCAACGAAACGGACTACTGGGGGAAACATTCGGAAGAGGGGAAGGCGAGCGAACCACTGACGCAGCGCCAAAAAAGCCAACCACCACACGAATCTCACCACAAATTCCCCGAAACGTCCCGCCGGGTCTTTCGCCTTCCTTGCAAAGACCACCGCTCCGCTTCGACCAAAGCGGGTCCAGGCGCCCGCCGTGCGGCGTCGCCCACCTTGCGGCGCCGGTCCTTGCGGGTGGCGGAAGCCTGCCCGGTGGGCCCAGCGGCGCGGTGGCGGGTTGTGAGGACGAACATGTTCTCCAGGTTCTCTCTTAAGAACTGGCCACAGTCTCCAGACTCTGGCCTCTGAACCTTGTGTCCGGGTGTTGTCCTCCTGTTGTCCTCTTCTTGTCCTCCTGCTGTCCCCTGGACGCGCTGGCAAACCCTGTGTCCTTCTCTTGTCCTCCTGTCCTCTAGCTGCACTGGCAAACCCCAGGGCCCTCTTATCACCGCCTTGTCCAGGCCTTGTCCCCTGCTTGGCCACGCCGCAATGTTTTCGTGTGGCTATGAATGCAACAGTGATGCAGTGCAAATTGGAATCCTCGGACTTTTTCTTAACATATGCTACTTTTTCTTGAATTGTGACCCGGGCATCAGGCACTGTTGTTTTCAAGCATTTTCTATTTTTTTGTATACGTGCTGTTCCCAAACAACTGGAGGACGTAGCTGCAGACGTTCACACCAACATTAGAATGCTCAAACATAATGCTGACACTGTTTGGGTCTATGCTGGTATAATGCTGGCATAATTCGTTTTTCCGGATCTCAAGTTTTGTATTTTCAAAAAGAGCTACAGCTGGGATTTTGGATGAGATTCTTTGTTTGGAGCTCTAAGTGCCAGGAAGGTCCGGAGCTTTTGAACTCTGTCGGATCCTCAGGTCTGAGCATCTTCCGGAATGATGTGGACAACAAGGCTGGGCGTGACAGTGAAAACAGCGTGCTAGGCATCTCGGGAAAGCTCCTCGTCTGGTGTTCATCCAGAAATGGATTCTTCCAAGTGACGAAAACATGCCCAACTCTCTCAGTAGAAACCAGGTCTGGTCAAGTGATACGAAACAAGCGAATCCCATCGCACTCGACCGCCGTGGACGCACGTGCGACAGGTGGGATTGAATGCGTTGCTGTGTATGCCGCTGGGACGAAGAAGAGGGACCAGACGGACCTGGGGCGAAGAGACAAACCTGTTTGTGGGTAGAACCTGCCGAACACACCCCAATAAACCATCGAACCAACAAACAACCAGGCAGGGTGACTATTCTGTGAATCTTGGGGGGTATATAAGTACTGGCCGACCCATGTCCAGATGGGTGGAAGACTCTGTGTGTGCTCACGTGGGGTCGGAGGGCATGAGCGAGAAGTTCGCAGTGAATCCAATATCAACAATCGCAAGTAGCCACCGCTTTTTGAAATACTTATTTGTGCAGGTTCTTTGAGGTGTCACTGACCATCATGACCCATAGCCCCCTCCAGATGAAACAAGAGGATTGAAACCCGAATGAATCGGAGATGTTGGTGAAAACCGACCCCCCTTTTCTTCAGGAAGCACCTCCAAAAAGAGGGGATTCCCCCTTGACCCTTTTTCATCAGCTGGGGGGTTGTCCAACCGGGCGCCGGACTGCTCCACTGGTGGGGTCGAGGCTGAAGACCTTCGAAGTGCCTGACATTCCGCTGCCGGCAGATGGGCTCGGCTTGGGTCCTGAGCACACATGGAGCGTCACACGCCGCGACACGATGTGTGGGAGACTGTTCGTGCAAGGAAGGCAGGGGCGTTTTTTTTGGGTGGATCTATTTATCTATTTCTTCACTCACTTCACTCTTGAGAAGCCAAGGCATTCCAGTTTGTCGGACATGTGCGAAGCCGTCGTTCTCCGGTCATCCCTTCTCGCCCCGGATGGAGACGGCACCAGGTGATGAGCTTCTTCGTGAGTGCGGGAGCTTGGACGAAACGCAGTGCCTTCGGTGGTGGATGACTGCAGAGGACAGGAGGTTCTTTGGAGCAAAGCAGAATTTCCGAAGGTTGTTTTGCTATGCCAGATGGCAGGGGGGTGTTTTCTACATGTGATTTGCCCAATGGCTTGGCTGACAGCTGGAAATGGAGAATGGATGGGCATACGTGAGCGGATCTGGATCTGGTGCCTTAAATAACTTGTGTCTTGACAGAGTCTGACCTAGAAGAAAACCGGGCCTTAGTTGGACCCTACGAAAGCGTGTAAAGCCCCGAGGAGATCGGCAAAACGACCAGCTGTGAAGTGCAGCGCCAGGTTCTTGAAGTGACCCTTTGATACTTTTGACAGATCCTTCAGGAGCCTTCGGTGGGGGCAAGTGACCTCAAACTGAAGTTTCACCAAGAACATCCGTTCGAAGACTCTTTTTGATCACCAAGTGAACGTTCCACTGCGCTTACTCCGCTGTTCTCGTCGGTCCTCAGCCCGCAACCGGTCCCTTTCCGACGCGGGCACGGTGGTGAGGCTGAAGCTGCGGCACTCGAAGCTCACCGCAGGGCAGAACTCTATGCTGCATAGGGTGCTAGCGGCGCCTAGGTTAAACTTTCGGATGTCGTGCGGGAATTTATGAGAACCCAAGTCTACAGGTCACCAATTGAGACTTGTTAGGGGGGGTTCAAGTAGATTCTGTGTGGATGTGGGGATCGAAAGGTTCAGGCCGTTTTTCGCCAGGTTGGAGACCGAAAACTCTCGCTGTTCAGCCAGGAATCCGAAGTCCGCTTCGTGACATGCCGCTGAGGTGTTGGCGGATGCCCGGGCCGCTGCCGGCCGCCCCGTGCGAGGTGCGCGGTCCAAGGTGCTGCATCGCTGATCAGTGTCTCCGAGACTTGGCTGCTCAGTGCCCTGAAACCATCCAAGAAAACGGGTCTTGGAGGTCTTGGCACCTTTTGGAGACAGACTCGTTGGCTATATACCTTAAGGTCTTTTGGAAGGTTTCCTATCAGGAGGACTGAGAGGTGAGACAGGTGAGCTGAGCTGCCGGTGCAACACCTCGTCGTCAGAAGGAAGAAAGCCACCAAAAAACGGTTCCACCCTGTTCCTCCACCGAATCCTTCAGAGAAAAGTCAGAAGCCTTCCATGTGCGCGGCCAGGCGGGTCAGGACCTATTGGGCTGGTCTGTGAGCTCCGCACGCGCTTGTTGGGGACCTTGCAGCGTCAGGAGCTCAAGGATTGTTGGGGGCAGAAGGCGGTCCAAACCAATGAAGCCAGTGTCAGAAGAGTAAAAGGTACCATATAAAGCAAGATCCCTGGACCATGCAGAATGAAGAAGGAGAAGAAGAAGAGGCAGGCGCATGCCATGCATCACATGGCTTACAGTAAGACGTAGAGCCAGGTCTAGATTGCCAGAATCAGGGAACACCTGCATTTTCTGTGTGTTTCCCCCGCAGAACACATGCGAAACGACTCTTCGCGGCTTGGCTCTCGACGCGTCGCTCTCGCCTCCTTTTCTCGCCGGGCCACGTTGACCTGGCGAGACGGTCCCAGGGGAGACGGCCTTGTCCAAGCCGACCCTGGAGCTGGTGACAGGGCTCTTAGAGTCTGCGAGTGTGCTGTCAGGAACTCAGAGATCGGGTGGGGGTCCGGTCTGAGCATCCGCCACTGGACGGTTTGGATTTGGACCGGACCAAGTCCGAATGAAACACTTGTGATGGGTCACGTTTTGCCGATGCAACCACCTCTGGGCTTGGAACCCGAGGCTCCGGCGCCACGCGGCGGAGTTCTCGGAGGAGGAGCCCGGTGGCCGAGGAACGGCAGACTCACCGGTGTTTCGGACGAGGACTCCGGTGGAGGTCGTTGTTAGGTGTGTCGGGTCTATGATGGTCTATGGGTTTCTTCCTTTTTGGGACCTACTATTTTCTTGGGTGAAGGCGTGGAGGCTGGAGGTTGGATATGGAAGCGGCTGGATGGAAGTTCGCGTTGCATCGGACAGGAGACTTGGTCAGTGGTCCATTCGGTTGGAGGGTTGCAACAGTTTGTGTTGAATATGTGTCCTGTTTAAACACAATGGCTTGGTGTTTTTCTTCTGCCTCTGACAGTGACCGGCCCACCCTACAGCTCTCAGGCTGCAGCGGCTCTACAACATCGCCACCTCGGTGGCATTGGAAGAGGCGGAAGGGTCGCGCCGAAGGGGCGAGGCGGAACCCGCGCTTTTGGAGGAGCATTCCTGAATCCTCACTCCCCAAATGCAAACCCCCCAAAAGAAAAGAAGTGGAGGTGAGGAAAGCTTGATTCGGGAATAGCCGTTGAAATTCTCAAAGAAGTGGTTTTTCAAGGTGATAGAAGTCTAGAGATAGCTGGCTCTGGTCCTTTCTCAAAGGGCCTCTGTATAAATGAGGCAACAATAGCATGGACCAACAGACCACCCCATTTCGTGGACCCCATAAGATTTTTGGACCTCCCTTCAAGACAATTTCCTTCACGGGTTTACAGGTTCTTTCACGAGTTTCTGGTTGAAGGATCTTGACTCGCTTTCGCTTCCAGGAGCATGAAGAAAGTCATCCAGTTGTGTCCATGAACATCATGAACAGTCCGTTTGATCACCCCAATCGCATCTCTTCAGTCGGGGTCACCCGCCGGCTTCGGGCCTTCCGTCGACTGGGGTCACCCTGTGGGTGCGACACCCCGAGAGGTGACCCAAGTCTCCATCCTGAGAGTTCTTGTTCCGTTCGTAGCGGCCTTGCTCCTAGTAGTACTGCCAGGAGCCCCAAACGTAGCGTTCCTTGCTCCGTTCGTAGCGATGCCAGGAACCCCGTTCCTAGCTTCTTGCTACTGTGTTTGGGAAAAAGCCTCCACATCTTCAATCGAAAGTACCCTGAGGAGGGATTTAGCTGGGGTGTCCTATTGGTCGCTTGGTCCCCTTTTTTGCAGCCAGTCGCCCTCTACACGCCTGGGTCCCCGCCGGGCGGCGCTGCAACTCTTCCAGGAGCTAAGAGATGTGCAGAAGTTGCAGAGGGTGTTAGGGAATGAAGCAAGTTGGTGGGTTGTTTGGCGCTTGGAGATGCTTAGAAACTGATTGGTGGCTTTTCCCTTCTATTTTTTTACATTCTTCCACTGCATGCTTTCGACTCATTGGTTCTGCCATCCAGGATGGGGCAACCTCCACGGACCTCGGAGGGGCGTTTTTTTTTTTTTTTTTCTCCGGATTCTGCTTTTGCTGCGTTTCTGCTTCTGCTGCTTTTTTGCTTTTGTTGCTTTTCTGCTTTTGCATTTCTGCTTCTGCTGCTTTTGTTGCTTTTCTGCTTTTGCTGCTTTTCTGCTTCTGCTGCTTTTCTGCTTTTTGTGTTTTTGTTTTTCTGCTCTTTGCTTTTGTTGTTTTTCTGCTTTGGCAGCTGTTCTTCTTTCACTTTTTGTTTTTGCTTTTCCATTTGTTTGCTTTCTAACCTTTGGATCTGGTGTGCTGCTGGTTGGGCGTTGCGCCCCCCCCCACCCCCCCCCCTGCGCCACGAAATCTGCACTTCATCTCCGACACCCGCGCCTGCCACGAAATCAATATTTTAAGGTGAACTCCCCGGGGCATAAACTTCTAACCAATCATATATGCCTCCTGCGCTGGTTCTCTTTCTCTTTACTGTTTCTCTGCTCACGTAGGACTTTCTCTGACACCTACACTATTCCAATGTATTTTGCCAGCTACGACAGATCCCAAATAGTCTAATCAGCTAGCAATTAATATGAAACCTGCACTATTCCAATGTATTTGGCCGCCTACGACACCTGTGTCTCGGCTAAGGACACGAAATTGCTGTAATTAGCTAGGTACTAAAAAGACACCTGCTCTATTCCAATGTGTTTGAAAAAACCTAAAACAAATACCAAATTAAACGTGCACCCCTTCCGTCGCAACTGGTTCTTCTGATGTGGCACCTTCGTCGACCGTCCAAAGCATCGCCCCCGGCCCACGATCAACTACCCCTCCGTCCAAAACGGGCGACCTCCGAGGTTGAACAGCCTGAAAAGCCCATCAATATACAGCAGTACATCTTCCAACTACAAATTCTAAAGTTCGACCCTTTGGCTGGTTTTATGGATGAAACGACAGACATTTTGCACAGTTGGAAAAAACATATATACAAAAAATAAAATAGTACAATATTATATAGTACATAAAAAAAGCATGATATGTATATCTTAAGTCATTATCTCTCTCATCGGTCTCTGGACCGAACCCCAGGACCACGCCTTTGTCTTTCGCCGCCTCTTCGCACGGGAAGCTCTCGTGGTGACCGAGCGGAAGCCGGGCGACCGGGCGCTGGCGGCCGGGACGCCGAGCGACGCCGAGCGACGAGGGAAGGGGAAACTGAAGTGGGATGAAGGTGGCGAAGAAGTCGGAAACATCAGAAACAACATTTAGGACATCCTTTTTCTCGTGTGGAAGCCATTCAGATGTAGATGCGGGATGCGCCGATGTGAGGATTCGCCATTGCTGCGGAAGATGCTGGCGTGGTGGCTCAGGGAATGACAGCGCAGGAGGCCATGGGAGGGAGGCAACATCCCCTTTAGGCAGGGGGCTTGATTATTTCCTCAAGGTAGCCAGTTCCACCTGCCGCTGTGCAAGAAAGACCCATCCAAGCTATCCTTTTTGATTCATATGAAGAGCCAATGGGTTGTCTCCACAGGTCCAGAAGACTTGTTCAGTGGATGCAGGTGCTCCTCTCAGGGTCAAGTTTGGCAAGTGTCAAGTTCGGCCCGCATGGGGTTCATCGTAGACAAACAGAGTTTTAGAGATGAACATAATTACCCATAAAAGGACCCACCTTGGAGTTTTGGCTCTCAACCTGACAAGCTATCAGAGAGTTGGATCTTCTGAAAGCCTCGAAGCTTCAGTGAGCCAAGGGTCATAGCCAAAATGCCCTTCAAAAGACCTCGTTGACACAAAAATGGCCTGGCCTCTACGGTACTCGTGCGGTAGTCTTCCTTTTGGACATTGCTCTTTTGATCCTTTTGTGTTCCTTGAGTTCCTATCTTTTTTCATATCGCGCATGATGGGTGTTCCATTTCCGGCAGTCCGACGGTGCTGGATGACTCGATATGCTTTCAATTGGACCATCCGGGAATCGGAGGACCTTTGGGAACGACTTCAGAATGAGATCCTGGTCCATTTGCCGAGCCGGGTCATCCTGACACTTTTTTCGTGAAGCCATAGAAGACAGACACACTTGAGGACACTTGGGTGCGTCGTGGAACACGGAGACCCCCAAAAGACTCCGGAAAGGCCTCCAAAAGATCCCCATAGACCGCAACACTGTGATGGGGGTTTCCCTGAGATAACACACCCACCCAAGGGTGTGAGGCTCGGTGCCCCTCTTTGTTGCCGCCGAGGACACCACCGCCGCGTCGCAGCCCGACGTCGCCTCGGCGGGCCGCGGCATGCTGACCGCCGTGTTGCGGGTGCGGTGACCCGTTGGGGGACGGGTTTCAGAAGGGTTTTCTGCACTCCGTCGGCCTCCATCGGTCCCCTCGGTCTAAAAAGAAGGAACACTACCGTACCACAAAAACGAACGGCCTCCAATCGGCCTAACAGTGCTTTTGGCCGACAGGGTGGTTTCGCCTCTACATCGCCTCTCCGGTCACGCAGCTCTTTTTCGATCCACGGTGGTTTTCCGGCGATCCTTGGATGGACCATCCTCCACTTGCCGCCATTGGGGTCTCATAAGGTTTCCCAAAGATAAAGATCATAAGGTTTCAACATCATAATACAAGGATGAGAGACGGATGAAGAACACATGCCTTGGCTGCATCGGCTCCAGCTCCATCCACGTTTTGCCGCTTACTGATCCGCTGCTTCGTGCGCCCAGAAATCCGATGTTCGTGCGGGTGACCTGCACGTGGGCGTTGAGTCTCTGGAGTCTATTGCTCATCTGCACATGGGATGCGACGGCACTGGAAGTGGCAACTTGGATTGGACAGGGTGTATGTCGAACATACCCACAACCACAGGGTCGGTGTTTATCAAATCCGTTGATTCTGTACATTTGATATCCAGGATATCCACATCAGAGAAGTTCAAACCCGAAGAATCTTGATGACCACCTGTCGGATGTGCTTTTTTGATATCCCGGTGTAGCAACGTGGACCCTACCATACTCTACCATTTCAACAAGCTGCCAATTTTCTTTTCAACTTTTTTGGTGCTTCCAACTATTGCACCAGAGGCGCAAATCCCCGGAGATGCATTAAGCGCCATGCACGAGCAGAAGTCCCTTTGGAACATGAGAACCCCGGGCGGAAAAATCTCTTTCAAGTTACGAAAAGCCGTGGATTTTCTCCGCACTGAGTGGCAACTCACTTGAAGATGCATTCGAGATCACTCCACTGCTGATAGAGGAAACGGGACATCTCGCAGGTTCCTCCGTGATCCTGCAGAATGAGTAGGCTTGGATGGTCTTTTGGGTGTTTCTATCTACAGTGACTCAAAGTTTCCCAGTCATTATATCAAGCTATCCTCTTTTAATCGATTCCCTCCGTTGGCTCCGTTTGCCGAGGTGCGCCAAGGAAGTCCCTGTGGTCCCAACGAAGTCCCTTGGCCTTCAGAAGACGGTGCTTTTCACTGCGAGGCCTTCGAGGAGCGGGATTGGATTTGAGCCTTGCAGAGGTCACGAGGTCGGTAGCCCTCCAGGTTCAGGGGATCCGACCGACCTCGTGTCTCCCTCTCAGAGGGGGAAGACGATCTTTTGTCGCCGCATCGTCCGACCGGCACCGAGCTGGGTGCGGAAGCGAGGGCGCGGAAGGATGGGCCCTCAGTGCCTCCCGTTCGCGGTTGCACAGGAGGCGTGGAAGCGTGCGGAGGCCTTTCTGAATGAAGCCTGGACCTACGAACGGAGCGAACGACGTTGAGTGATTCCGCAAGTGCAGAGTGGGGTGAGCACCTAGCGTAGATATAGAATCATAATAAAACCTTTGGAGCAAATCGACACGGCAACAGGCGAGCGGCTGCATGGAATTTTGACATCTTCCATATCCAATTTCAACTACTTTAAAACCGATACCAAGTGAGATGAGAGTACCGGGGGCAGACTCATTGAGTTCCTTTTGTTTGTATCCAAGTATTCTGATGCCTGTTGGACTGCCCGTGAGGAACAGCGCAAATGAGCAGTTGTCGATGAACAGCGTAATGCAATATGCGTGCATAGCCGGCCTAGCCCTCAACACAAGCATTTGGTGAGAATATTGGAGGTGCCATGGGCGTGTCCTTCAACAGAGATACATGAGGCACAAATGTAAAGAGCTTGGCTGCAAAGTGCAGCCTCCAGAAAACGGCCCTCTGTAATCGATCTCCGCAACGATTCATTCTTCTACTCGTAGAACATGCCTATGCCTTGATTCCTTGCCGCTAAGATCTGTTTATTTCAGACGTTTCTGGCACCAAAACTGGAGCCTTCCGCTGTTGCTTGAAACCCAAACCCGAGGACAACATGCCGCCGTGGGACCTCTTGAATCGCGGCACCTTGCAGCTGGGCCTCTTGCCCGCCACGGTGACCCAAGCCCTCCAGGCCAGGCTTGGGGCGCCGGGAGGCGGGTTGAAGCCGAGTCGATGCTCGTCCGACGCCTGCGAGCCTCCAGCCTCGATCTACGGGGCGGGAGAAAGCTGCCCTGGTCGAAGCACCTACCTATCCTGTCCTGCTCCGTGCTTTTGGGTGAGGTCCTGAAGCGCATTCTGAGACCCCATTCTCGGTGCTTTTGGGAGAATAGATGCCCAATCTGATGCTCCCATCTGAAATATGGTCAACCCTTGGGAGAAGGCGTGTGGATTTTTAAAGGACATCTCGGATTTTTCCCCAAATAGGGCTGGGGCTGCGGCCCAACCACCACAATTCTGGCCGACGAAGCTGTTTGGGGATTTTCTTCGCCCAGTCCCAACCGACCTTCTCGAGGCCGGGAGGGGGGTGGGTACCGCAGCAGGTACGTCAGAACTTCAGCTGGGCCGCAGAAGTGCCAGAGGAGAGAAGAGTTGTGGAACTTCAGCTGGGCTCTGCCTTTGGAGGGCCAACCTAGACTATTCCTGGATGGGGGTGTCCAAAGGAGGCCGAGGCTAGTAGTCTAGGATGGTCTATTGGTGACCCCGAATGGACAGGCTGATGGATAATTTAGGTGTGAGGGATTTTGCATCTTAGACTTCTCTCTCAGGTTCAGAATTCACGCGCCGTTCTACCACCGGGCCTGGCTTGAAGGGTATGGGTTGGTGTGTGGTTGGCCTACATAGGAGCTACATACAGTACAAGTTCCCATCTATTTTCTGACCTGGCCGGCAGGCCGGGGCGTAGTGTGACGCAAGGCAGACTGACCTGGTCTGAGCAGAAGAACGGGTCTGAGAGCCCCACGATTTTGGCGTGTCATGTGGCGTGCATCCACATGGCCAGTCCAGACAGGTGCCCCGCTTGGTTAGGATCGTAATCCCATTCCTTTCACTTCAGAGGAGATCTGGCTGAACTACGTGCTGCCCTATGCTAGCGTGAACGAAGCCCGCACAGACTGGCGGAGATTATTGCAACTTCGTGGCACTTGGCTTCGGAGTTTTTGGCTCTGCCACCCATAAGCCACTGTCTTCGCATGGACCTTCACGCCTTCGCTTTTTCAACCGCTGATCCCATCAGCCGCGGCGGATCCGTCTGTCGCTAGGTTCGAGGCCCTGAAGATCGACGCTGCGAAGCGGAGCTTGGCAGAGGTCACCCAGCCACGCGGGACGCACTGAGAAGAAGGGCTCCAGGTTTTACATGGGGTGGGGATGGACCCAGCGCCCTGGTGCAACGGTCCAGGGTCTCCCTGTCGCACCGTCGTTCAAGCCTGTGCGACCGGTGAGGTTGGTGAATGAGAAACTCTGGTCTGCAGTCCGCAACGACACCACCATTGTTTTCAAGGCGCAGCAGACTCCGCTGATCTATGTGACTGGGTGGCAGACTAGACGTTTTTTGGGCGACCATTGGTACATTTGGTGCTTGATCAACACTTTTTGTCCTTGTCGTATCCCATGAAAAGGACGATGGGCTGCTTTGGGCACCCACAATACACATGACCAATCCGAGAAGCCATGGGACTCCCTTGGGCCCGGGCCCTTTTGTCCGAGTGCCGCATTCCCCGTCCTTATCTCATTGCCTTGATCCTCCAAACGCACCCAGACGCCCAATGGTTCTCAAACACGCTGCCTTTTGCAGGTTGGAACGGTATGGAACTGAGTTTGTTGCCAGTTCCTCGTTCCTTTTCGAACGGTGTCCGACCTGAGAACTGTAGGTACTGATTCTTAAACCTGAGATCTCCGAGTGACATGCTGATGCAAAGCCCAGGTTTTTACTCACAAAATATCACATAGCCTCCAAACCTCTACTTTGACTTATATATCATATATCAATTACTGTTGGTGGACCAACTCCTACACCACCTCACCAATGCACTGAGCAGGTGGTGCAGGTGGCGTCCCTACCTTCCACTTGTTTGGGGCTTGTCTCACTTTGGTGGTCCCAACGTTAAAGAGGAAGAACGAGGGGCAGCAAGGAAAGTGTGCACACACAGACAAAAACACATGCGTGCAGGAATCCAGGATTTGGTTCATCAACCGCAAGAGGTTTTAGACACCAAGTTCTTAATTTGGACCAACTGCAGAGTCGTGCGCTTTTTTCCTTTCTTCTTTTTCCTCACCTTCATTGCCTTTCTTGAAGAGCTGTGGTCAGGATACAATGAGCGCCATCGCTTTTGGCTATGCCTCCTGCACGGGTTTGTCCATCATGTTCCTGGACGCGCTGCGCAGCGTGGGGGTGCCCGCTCGCCTGGTGGGCACGCCCGCGTGGCATGGGACCTTTGCCGACGGGCGACCCGGGCGTTCAAACGGAGGTGGGAACGTGACATGGGACCATGGCTACATACAGACATACCTGGGACCATGGCAACTGATGGAGGTTGAGGTGAAAGCATGGTCGTTTGGTCGTTTGATGAGAGCGAACTTGAACGCTCTGTAGAAGAGATTGAGAGCACACAAGGGGGAGAGAGAGAGAGAGAGTCAGTCGGTGTGGGAAGTCTGAGAGACCATGTCAGACATCGGGTGCACCAGTCCCATGTCCCTTCCGTTCACACTCTGCGAATGCGAGTTGTGCTCAGCAAGCACAAGCGCAAAAGGTCCGCTTTGAGCCCGAGGAACCACAACTGGGTGGAAATCTGGCTGGGCCATGGTTCTGGCCTCTTTGGGGAAGCCTGGACGTTCTTGGAAGCCTCTCCTGCTGGGCCTGGCGAGCATCTGCTCAATCCCTGTGACAAGTGGTTTTGCAACCCCAGTTGCTGGGCGATGTTTGTGGTACCAATCGCGGTCTTCGAAGAACATCGCAGGGTGGTTTGTCCTGTAGGTCCGCAGTGGAGTAACAAGTCCTTCACCAAGGGACAGCATTTTAGCTGTACTGACTTTGGACAGCCTTATAGCATTTTATAGCCCTTTCTGTACTTCTTACCTGCATGGGTCTGGGCCCACAGAGTCTCAAAGAGGTCCAAGCACAGGACGTCGCAACAGGACGTGCGAGGGTGACACCTGTCTCGACCCGGTATGATGCTGTCTCAACCAGTGCGTGGCCCTTCGGCATCGACCGCGAGATTGAATGTTTGAAGAAGAGGTGTAGACATGAAAACCATTGACAACCACCAGAGGTTGGTGTTTCTAGAACATCTTGCTCCATCAGATAAGAATGATAAGAGCCAACCGTTAGTTGCGTGCAAAGTTGGTTTAATGTGGTTTGTGATGTGCACATTGGACACAACGTTTGGATCTCTGGTTGCCGTGTGTGTGGGGGAACAATGGATCCATGCCACCAGATGTGAGGGTTGTTTGGATGGGCACACCTGTTGTATTGTAAGGGGTTTCTTCAACATTCTTCAACCTTAAAATCGGGATGTCCCTCGATCGTTTTTTGTCCTGCAGCAGGTATGGGTGTGCCAAATTTGTATGGGTTGCCGCGGGCCCATACAAATGGATATATAATGATATATACCAATGGACACCACTTGATGAATCCCGTGGACCTAGTTGAGGTCACTTTGATGGGAAGACCATGTCCTTCGCGGCCAAGTTTGATCGCGAGAAGGAGAAGTTCAACTATTATCCCATGGCGTGGGATATGGAGAACAAGGACCACATTCATCATTTTTGCCGCACTTTTGGATCAGCTTGTGAGATAGGCTGGGCTGGGTCCAGTGGAAGGACACCAGCTGGGAAATGGAAATCACTTGGTCCATTTGTTCGATCTACTCTTCAGTCTCACCACTTCGAGCAGAAAAAACATGGAACACTTCGACATCGAGTCTCTGAGAAATCTCTTTCTCCAATCACTTGAGGACCGAAGGACCGTTTTCTGATGTCAGGACCGTTCTTCCACCGTGCTCGAGGGTTTTTATCACCACCGTGTCTTCCTCCGACGGTTTTCACACCTGCTTCGCCCAGGACATCCCCGGGGTGAATCGCACCGACTTCTACAACTCGATTTGCAGCAAGTGCTAGCAAAAAGGAAGTGCCAGGGTTGGGGCAGTCAACGAGCCCAGGTTGTCTTTCTTTATATGTTAGGGTCCCTATTTAGTGGTCAGAGGTGCTGAAAACATTGCGGTTGCCAACTGTACCTGCCAAGTGATGGGCACGTGTGGGGCCACAACCGATACAAACTTGCACAGTTTCAAGCGGCCAAAATACCTCAGAAGTCCATGTGGGAAGTAGCAAACCTGCTGCAAGAGGTACTGTACAATGTGCAAACCTGTGTACGGAGCCACTTCCACTTTGTACGGACTACTCGCGCTTTTCCATGATGATTCTGCAGAAGGAGAAGTACACTTCCATGACGGTTGGAAAGCCATCCTATAGGAATCTCCATGATGCATAGCTGAACAAGTGTGAACCCCTGGTCTACGTCAAAGAATAAAACACAGTGATGTTCCATCGGCACGCCCACCAAATCATGTTTGTTTGACCCACAGTGTACACTTGTTATATTTTTTTAAAAGAAATAGTATTGCTTAGGGGTTGGTTGTACCATCTACTCTGAATCCACATGCAGGGAACGCAGCACTACCCTTGAGGTCCTGGGAGAGTGTGCGAAAGGGAATTGGTGGGAAATGGTCCACGGCCACAATTCATGTCCTAAGAATGATCCCAATTTCTTAGCCGCGGTGATTTTTTTTACAGCCATCAAGGATGGCATGTGGTTTTTGTACGGCCAAGTAGAGCTCGCCTCATGTGAGCCTGGTGCAATTTGGATGTTGGCCTTCAGTTGGCCAGCGCAGATCTGCCTGTTTGACTCTGGCAGGCCCTCAGCGATGGGGTGTTGAATGATTTGGATGCGCGGAAGGTGACAGATCTTGCAGAGGCCGTGGTTGGCAGGGCGGTTGCCAGGAGTGAGGAAGATGATGTGAATCATTTGAGAAGGGCCCTCACTTCTGCGATACCCACTGGGGAAGCTATGCCTTCACCCAAGCTTTCGACCCCCTCACGGCCTCACGTTTCAAAAAACACGATCCACTTCACTGGAATATTCACTGGAATATTTCATTTTTGCACATGTGCAGGGCGGCACATTGAGTGAACCGATGTGACTGGTGTGATGGGATAGCGCTCATGTCTTTCTTGAACCACGGACCACCAGCGTATCCCATGTTCACTCGGTAGTTGGTGGCTTGGAATCTTGGTATCCATGCGCTGGGCCTGCGCAATGAGTGAAACAAACCATCAAGGCTTTCATTGGGTGAATTGTAGGTAGTGCAAGAGCAACAAAACTGAGCCAGCTTGACAAAACACCGTACTTGCCCCTCCGGTAGTTTCAGCGCGACACAGAACCATACAAATCACAGCGTATCACTACATGAACCCCTCTGCTTGGATGGTCAGCACCGCTACTCTCGGAGGCCTCCCGCAAGCGCCCGCTGGAGGAGGCGGACGAGGTGCGGCGGGAAGTGTTCAGGCTCCCTTCAACACCGACCAATTGGAGGAGCTGCCAGGGAGCAGCTTTGTGCATCTTTGTGCCGCTGTGCCATGTCCTTTTGGCCGGTTGAACAAGTGTATACCGCTTTTCCCAGCTGCAGGCTCCCCCGCCAGAAGCTGAGGTGGTGCGAGGTGCGGAGCTGTCAAAGCGTTGATTCACATGGCGGAGTTCTTTGTGAAATGCGCATCCATCATCATCATCACCATCATCATCATCATCGTCATCGTCATCGTCATCGTCATCGTCATCGTCATCATCATCATCATCATCATCATCATCATCATCATCATGATCATCATCATCATCATCATCATGATCATGCATGTGAGACACCATCCATGGAATCCATGTGCTCACTTTTCAGAGTTCACTTGGGTTCCTCAACGACCGGCAGGCTGGTACCCGCACTTCCACGAGCTCGTGCTCCGTGCCTCGGCCGGTGGGCCGTTGTAAAGTGCTCTTTGTGTTGCTATACAGCGCCTATATTATGATATGATGTATATATATATACATATATATAATTATAATGTATTAAGAGTGTGTTACTCATAAAAAACATCATTGATCAGGCTCCTAATTGTACTCCAACGTGCATTTTTTTGGGGCCCTCACAAGACTCTCTGAGAGTTTGTTGCTTCAATCTATGTCCATATCAACCCAGCTAGCAACCCGGCTCGGCCTGAGGCCCCAGCGGTCCCGAGAAGCTCACGGGTGCTCGTGGCTTGGGAGCGTGCCTGGGGCAAAAGCAGGGTGGGTAGAGTATGGCGAATCAGTGGAAACCCAGTGAAGAGCAGACCCCTTTAGGGCCTTGAGGGTTGGATGGGTTTGTTCGACCTCCAGTCTCAATTAAGGGTCCATGGCACAGTTGCCCTTTTTCCATTGTGGAAGGAAGACTTTCCAACACAGTCTGACAGCAAGTTGGATGTTCAATTGTTTCCTGCCATATCCAGGATTAGCACCTCCAACCTCCCAGCAGACATTTATGTGTTCCAACCCTTTCCCAACGTTTGCCCGAAAACGAAACCAGACCCAAACAAACGATCCAGGCAGACCGATCGATCCAGGCCGACGTCGCCCTCGCCAGGTTGGTGCCTGCCGTGGCCCGGCTCGAGGGACCTGCTGTGGCTCGGTTTGCCCAAAAAGACACACCAAAGGGGACAGCTGTCGGACAGGAAGAAAACAGAAACACAGACACCTAAATAGAGGGAGTGAGCTCCAAACAGGATGGGTCCCGCTGCAAGACGACACGTTTCTCCATCATCGACCGAGGTGGTGCTGGAGATTTTGGAGGTGATCCTTGACGCAGCCGAAGCTGCAGTGGTGCCCTTCACTGAAGCAGTGGAGGAGGAGGAGTGAAGATGTCTGGATGTGCATGATGAGGGTCTGAAGTGGTGAATGTGAGCCGGTCGGTTCATGACGCAGTGTCGATGTATAGTGAATTGGATCCACATTCCTTCCGCTACATAACCTGAATCTTGCTGGACCCTCAAAGAAAAGACCCGCCGATGCACGCCGACCCCGGCGCGAACGGCAGAACGCCAGGACCCCGACCCCGCCGACGCGCCGGCCACGCCGGCTGCCTCGACGGGAGCGGCGAGCACTTCGGCAGCGGGCCAGCGGCTGACGGCGACGGCACCGCGGGGGGGGGTTGGAACAGCAGGATAGCGCGGGTGGAAGGGTGTGTAGGAAGAAGGTGTGTACCAGGATGTGCCAGAATTCTTTTCGATGGATGAGTTGATTCCGCGTATCTACAGACCATGCGCCACGATGGTGCGCGGCCTCCGCTCGCGGCGAGGCCTTGCCTGAGCTGGCAGAGGCGGTCGAGTTGTCCACGGTGTTGGCGCGTTGGAGCAATTTCGATGTTTTTCCTCAAAGATAGGGCTTATATACCACGATTATATATCCCATATATATATATATGTTTTTTTAAATAACTTTCTTATTTCTCCGAACAGATGATTTCCATTTTCATCAGTCGGAGCGTATTGAAGCAACCTGTTTCAGAAGGTGCAAGGGTGGAGACGTGTCTGTCATATGGGCACCGCTTCGTGAAAGCAGCGTACATGACTTATACAATACCTATATATACATGCTCAATGGTCGATTCATAGTTAGTGTTAGCATGTGTTAGCCATCTCCGCGACCAACTAGCGGAACCAGAACCACGAACAGTTCACGCAGGAACCACGTTGGGATTTCTAGGATGCTTTGCTTTTCACCTGCGAATCAACGACCACGTGGAAAGTCATGTTCAACGACACGTCTGACAATCCTCACGAGGCTCTCTCCCGCGCGATCCCAACCGTCTCCCGCTGGCGGGGCGGCTCAGCAAGTCTCTCGTTGATCCGAACAAACGAGGTGTGATTGAAGAGCATCCTGATTTTTCAGTGCTAACTCATTTCCAGATTGACACCTAGGGTGCAATAGTTCTTTACAATTGACTAGGTGTAATCGATGTGGGCATGTGGATACGCAATTGCTCGCATGGCGTCGCATGGTTGGGGTCACACAATTATGTATATACTCCCTTCCAGCGGTGGTTGTGCACAAACTCAGACCAAGCTTTGTTTTTAACGGCACTGGATGTTGCTCTGTATGTCTTAAAAACCCTCCAACAGTTATTTGTGACTGTTGGAATCCCCCGAAGAGCCCTTATGGTGTCCTTTCTTTGCATCCTTCGAATTTGGTTCTGTTCGACTGAAGGTGCGATGGCTTTGACTCAGGTTGACTGGCACTCAGTGGGTGCGTCTGCTGGCCGTTCGGGATCCTAAGTGCCGCCCTGCGGACTTCGGCGAATGCGAACAAACCAGCTGGAGTTACATTTTGTCAGCCTTTTTCCCTGTACATCCCTGCCAGGCAGGGTGTACTGCGGTTCTGTTTTAGGCCTTTCGAAGCTGCAAAAAAGCGGATCCGTCGATCCCGACGAGTCGTCGTGCATTTTGGGGCGGTCCCAGGTCGGAATTCAGCTCTTCCGCGGCTTCCACCGGGTCTTCACCAAGCGAAGACCTTTGGTGGCCCAAGCGGTCGCCCACCTGCCTGGGTTCCCGAGCCGGTTGGCCGAGTTGGTTAAACAATGTTCAACATTGCAGAGTCCAAAGTGGAACAGATCCTCTCTTCATATTTTTCCCGAGTCACCACGAACTCCCCCCACCATGTGGCGAGTGGGTCTCCAGTCTTCACTGAAAACCACTGAAGTCGTCATGTTCGCACTCCAGTCATTCGGCGAATCTTCCCAAAAATGGACCTGCCCCAAAAACCGAGGTTGTCCGTCTTCCGTGCGGCCAGCAAAGAGGAGCGGGAGGAGAGCTCGGGCGGCCTAGAAGTGTGAAGTTTGAGCCCAGGGAACACCTGAAGCCAGGACAGAAGAGTTCCACTGATCTCTGAATCTCCCTGATTCCAGTCTTCCGTTTTCGTGTGACGGACCTTTCTTCACCTCCTTGTGGAGCTTCCCCCGACGAAAAAGCTGGAGGTCGATCTGTGGCATGGGGAGCGACCGAGGTGCAACCTCGTTGGAGCCTTACGAGGCCTTGGTGGCACAAGGGATAACGCTCATGGCCAGGGAGCCCCAGCGGGGCTGGAGTCTTTTTCGAGAGTTTGGTGATTTTGGTGATGGAATGTCAGAAATCTGGAGCTCTCCAAACGTCACACTCTGCGACGAGTGTGGTGGGAATGACGTGTCGAACGGGACAAGTTGGGTATGCTTTCCACCAGCATCTTTCACCCGTTGCAGCTGTATCCCACATGTGGCATTGAAACAGAACACACCCAGCGACGTCCGTCGGTTTGGGACGTCGGACGTCACGATGCCACCGGCCGGGGGATACTTGAGGTCACAGAGGACGAGTCCTTGCAAGGCCTGTGGGAGCTCATTTTGAATCATTTGGAGCATGAGAAGCGCCTCGAGGCCGGGATCCGCGCAGAGATCATCTGCGGATCCGCCGGGTGTGAGGGGTTTTGGGGCCGCGAAGCTTGGGGGCCGGGTGACCTGTTGTTTTCGTGGGTGGGGAGCACTGCCCGGTTGGAACGGACCACGAAGGGAATGTGTTGGAACGGACTGCCCGGTGCCACGGGGTTTTCAGCGATGTGTGGGACCTGGAGGAAGTTCAGCTCTTGGCCGACAGCCTCACCCGGAATATCCTGATGCTTGCGCGACAAGGCGAGACAGCCCGCTCGCAGCCTGGCCGGAACAGAGACGGGAACGGGGCAACACTGGCCAGTGTGGTTCGGCAGGAGCAAGACTTTTCCAAGGTGAATGGATGTTTGGCATGCCCATTGCAAACTTCCACGGCCATTCTGCAGAGAATGGTTCAGTTGCTTTGGCAGTTGAAAGATCTCTAAAATGCCTTGAATGCATGGGCGGTTTCTAAGAAACAGCACCTCTCCGATTGATTGAAATGGCAGTGTTTTTTTCATATTTCCTTTGACATCAAAGGTTTCTTTTTGATGCTTTGTCCAAGAAACTATGGCAAAATACATGAACAAATCATTACGTTGGATCAATGTTTTTCTCGAATACTTACTTTCCTTGCGCTCGCTGCACGTGCTTAAGAACAACCTTTTTTCCGACGATGTAGTTCTTGATTGCCTTTTTCTAGCCTCACCAAAAAAAACACCTTACGAACGCATATGTCTTCCCTTGCTTCCTGAGTACGGGAGCAACTGCTATGTGAACCAGTTGGGTACGTCCAACATTGCGAACCAGTTACCGGTGTCCATGTTCAGGCATCACGCAGTCCCCGGGGCCCCCTTGTCGCTCTCGAACAGCGGTCGAGGAGCCTTCTAGACATCATTAGCTTGAGTACATTGAGGTAATGTAGACTCTTGATTAATAACCCCCCCCATTAAATTGGAAATCCACTTCATATGGGGGGTTTATTATATAATCTACATGATTTAGGATCACTACTACTAATTTGTGCAGGAGAAGCGTCCAACCGTCCATTGGTGCAGGTGTGGAAAACTACCTGCGGCTACAGCAACAGGAGGCCCAGCCGTCACGTCGGAGACCATGCTGTGAGGGCGGCTGAGGATCGAATGTCTCTACAGGGCAACTAGGACATAAGAATAGTAGTAAGGCCAGGAGCCCCTGTCTTAGCTCCTAGTAGTAAGGCCAGGAGCCACTAGTAGTGTCTTAGCTCCTAGTAGTAAGGCCAGGAGCCCCTAGTAG